CAATTAAACTTCTTGTAGCTTTTTTGTTATTATGGAAAAGAAAAATATATCCTACCAATTTTCTGATATTTCCCTTAAAGCAGAATGCCTTCTTTCTCTTCTCTTTTTTTTTTTTTTTTGGCTTTAGTTGTAAAGGAGAGGGAATACATTAAAGTAACTGGTTTGATTTCTCTTGCATTGTATACTGCTTCTGAACATATAATTATTTTTAGTTGTCTAAAATAAAATGCCTCTAAAATGAAAGAATGTTTTGTTTCTTTGAGGAAAACTAATAGGTTGGAATTTTATAAATAAAAATAGCTAGAAAAAAATTTCTATATTGTAAACATAGGAAAGACAATTTGATTAAAGACTAGCATTGTTTTAAAAAACAAAAACTATTCACACAGCAAAAGACAACTTGGTTACAGATGCTGTACACATCGTTCCCTAATTTTGAAATTCATTTGCTCATACTCAGTGTTTGGAATTTTCTTGTTCTTTGCTGGAGTTGCATTTACTTCGCCCTTCCACACTGGTTGGTTAGAAATATATGACCCTCATTTTAAAATGATGACTGAAGGGGCCGGGGAAATGGCGCAGTAGAATAAGTGCTTCCCTGGCAAGCGTAAGGGCCTGAGTTCGATCCCCAGTTCTGCAAAAATAAAATGATGACTGACTTAAATGATGCATTATAGAAAAGAATCAAGCAGTGAAATATAAAATATCCACGCTCCCCCCAAATCTTGTAAAAGTGCTCATCAGTGTGCAGTAATCCCTTCTGTGTATGTGGGCAAATAGATGTAAATGAGTTGATGAGGGTGGTGTAACTTGGCCTGTCATGTTTAAGATCTGTCGTTTTAGTTTACCTTGTCCTTTTAAGTTTGGGTAGCATTCAGAAAAACCCTCTTACCAACCCTCTAATAAACTGGATCAATTGAGTTTAGACTGCAGTTTATTTTTTTAAACATGCAGCTATAGTAAATAGTAATTTAGCAATATTTCAGAACAGTAAGTTTGCTTTTTATATGCTAATCAAGCTTTCAAATGATCTTTGGTAGCTTTCCTTAAAAGAAACAAAAGCCAACCAAAGAATAAGATTCCTTTTTGAGCATTTGTGATAAGCAGAAAAAAGCAGTCAGCTATGGAAGCGTTTGAGAGCTAGGCAAAAGCGGGCGATGCTCCATGCAGGGTCTTACAGGTGTTGGCAGTTGGTGTCAAGTTTGTCACATGCCTGATTCCCTGCTATGTAGCAGTATTGTCAGTGAGTCAGACTTACCAGAGTCTTATTTAACATAAAATTGAGATGCATATATACCATACTGGAATCAAAGTTGCTTGGTGTTTATGAAATTGATGAGCCAAGGTGGATTTCTTCTACTTAGATTTCATAAAACACAGAGGACCCGGAAGCTAGTGGTAGTACACACCTGTAATCTCCGCCAGCACCCGGATGGTTAAGGCAGGGTGATCACCGTGCAATTGTGGGCAGCTTGGGGTACATAGGCCTTGTCTCAACCAAGAACAAAGATAAGAAATCCTGATTGTATAAAGTCCATTATGTATTGGTTTTCTCTTGTTGCTACAGCACATTACTGCAGTTTTGTGGCTTAACAATTCAAGAAGTTCTGAGTCAGAAAAACAACTAACTGGGTTCAGTCAAGGTGGTGTTGCAGCAAAATTCATCAAGGTAAACCTTCATGCGAGATCAAGAATGGGAACAATCAAGACATTTATTGCCTGCAGGATGACAGTCTGATGCACAGTCAGGGAATATCTACAATCAGAATTTTATACTGGATTATAACCACATTACCTCAGTTTGGAATTCTACAAAAATGTCACAAGGTTTACATTTTCCAGGGATTTGTTAGTACAGTTAAATTTTAGCTTACCTACAGTTTTTTGTTCTTTTGTTTTTAGTTTATGTATTTTAGTACAGGGTGTACAATGTCTACACAGATTGGACCTTTAGTGATCTTCCTACTTCCTACTTTCAGCCTCCCAAGTGCTTGATTTACAGGCGAACGCCACCACACCCAGTCTCAGTGTTTCAGAGTGACCTGGGGCAAGGCTGGCATGGCACGCTGGGGATCAAACCCAAGTCCCTGTGCCTATCTAAGGAGGTGCTTCAGTCCACTGAGTTTTCTGGCCGGCTCTTACAGTTTGTTATAACTGTTTGCCCCTTAGGTTAGTGATTTGTTCTCCTTTACGAGTTTTATGGTTAACTAGAGGGAAAGGTGTGAGGAGTAAATTCACCTGAAGTCTAAATGGCTTCTAAAATAGAGTCTCTTGCCCCATCAGTGGCAAAACTTTCTTCTGCAGGCACTGGGGAGCTTGTGTCCTTGCCGGTTCAGCTAAGTGAGCTGTGTTCCTTGGCTCTGTCCCTCCTGCCTTCAGAGCTTAGCAGCACAGCATCTCCTAATCTGACTCTCCCAATACTGTTCCTATCTGGATATTTGTGGTTACTATATGGCCCACCCACGGATAAGCCAGTCATCTCAGTCCGTGATACCTTAAGTGAGGCATGGAGCAAGTTCAAGGCAAACCTGGGCAACTTAATTAGCCAAGGGGATCTTTTTTTTAAAAGTAAGTTGATCTCTTGGGAATAATTTGAGTGGAGTGCTTGCCTTGAATATGTGTTCAGTCTCCAATACTGGTAGACAGTATTGCATCTACAAAATAGCCTTGCATCTACAAAGTTCCTCTTGCTGTATAAGGTGACATAAATGCTGAGGTATAGCATTTGGGCATGTTTGAAGGGCAGTTAGTCATGCTTTGTAATGGTGGAATCCTACGGTAATTTTTTTTTCCTCATTAATGCTCCTGAGCATGAAATGTCCAGAGTGCTGAGGAGCATTCTAGCCCTTTTATTTTGAGACAAGAGTCTCAACAAAATCACTCAGGTTGGCCTCAAGCATGTGATCCTCCTGCCTCAGCTTCCTGTGTAGCTGGGATTACAGGCAGATGCCACTCCACCCAGCTATGCAATAGAACAGAAGGTTCAACTATCAACTAAATTTTCACTTGTCAATCTCATCATCTCAAAAGGTTTTTTCCCTGTCATCCTATTAAGCTTCAGCATCACTCAAAAGTGTCCATGTCCTTGTTTTTAAAGTCCATTGTCTTCTGCTTCTCTGAAAGCTCATGCATGGCTTACTTTATACCTTATTGACTACTCCTGTATTTGCCAATTTCTCTCTTCCTGCTAGGCCTCCATTGTGGACTGCCTGCCCTGATTCTCTCCAAAGGAAAAAAATAATCCACTATTATGGCATTGTTTTCTGATGACTTTCAATTTTTGTATCCACTCTGCCTTTTTTATCTATTTGTTTTTTTGTGGCCGGCTCTGCCCACCCTGGGGCCAAGGCTGGTGTGGTGTGTGGTGCCGGCGATCAAACTGTGATCCCTGAGCACTTGCCTAAGCAGGCACTTTAGACCACTGAGCTATCTCCCAGGCCCCACCCTGCCTCTTTATAAGCACTGGAGTTTAACTTGCAGACTGAAGCTATGAAGGCCCCCATAACATAAATGGGTATGTTAAACCCGCATTTATTCTTTAGAATATTTCTGTTGATGCATTTTTAAGTATGAGTTATTTTTTATATTAAACAATGCTTACAAGGAAAAAAGCCACAAAAAATATTGCATTTTTATTTTTTTTTTAATTTTATTTATTTATTTATGTGTGTGTGTGTATGTGTGGCCAGCTCAGCCCACCAGGGGGCGGGGCTGGCTGGCATGTGGTGCTGGGGGATTGAACCGCGGTCCCTGTGCTGTGCTAAGCTTGTTCTAAGTAGGTGCTTTAGACCACTGAGCCATCTCACCAGCCCCCTGCATTTTTAATATTGTTTATAAAACATAAAAATTATAAGACTAAGTGTCTTGCCGGTCTTTGTCAGGAGGTCTTTATTATGTAATATGTAGTTAACAGGAACATAAATTATCACTAAAAGCATTAATTTCTTAAGTATTGTACTTTTAGAAGACTCATCAGCATTTTCCCATCAGCAGGGTGTTTGCTTACAAAACCTGAGAGAACAAATACAAGCCTTACGTGAGCTACAGTGTAAACACAAAAGTCTACTACAGAAATCTCGGCTTTCTTCAACTGCCACACCCAAGGCAGTTCACACATGACAGCTGCACGTTCCGTGCACACACGCGCTTATTCTGGTGGCACTTGTGCTTAGCTTTCCTTTGCCGTGTGGCAGGCCAGGCTTCCTGCTTTGTCAGTAGCTTCCTACTATGGTGTACAGTGTGCACTTAGCAGGGCAGTAAGATATCAAAATATCAAAGGTGTGATGAGCGCTTAGAATTAAAAACCTACGTTAGCTGTAGTGAAAATGGCAGCAGCACCCTGTAACAAAAATAATCTTTGCTTCTATTGTCACACCCAAGGCAGTCTTCACACTGCTTATAGAATTGGATGACCTATGCACAAACATTGCTTATACTGATTGCATGTATGTTTTATTTTTTCTCTCTTTTGTTTGTTTTGTATCTGTTTCTGTTTTCTGAGACAGGGTCTCCCTGTGTAATTCAGGCTGCTCTTGAACTCACTTATGTTTGGCTGGCCTCAAACTCAGGGTGATCTTCCTGCCTCAGCCTCCCGTGTACTGGGATTACATGTGTGTGCGCATGCCCTACCTGTCCTTTCTTGAACAGTGTGCCTGAGATCTTTTGGTTTTGCTGTTATCATAGTAGGTCTTTGGGATGCTGTACCTGCCTGCTCACCTGCCAGTTCACCAGTGTGCCCCACTATATATATATATATATA